TTTTTTTTTTTTTTTTTTTTTTTGCAGTTTTTGGCCAGGGCTGGGTTTGAACCTGCCACCTCCAGCATATAGGGCTGGCACCCTACCCCTTTTAGCCACAAACACCACCCAGGCTTAAGTGTTTCTCTTGCCTCAGCCTCCTGAGTAGCTGGAACTATAGGCACCCACCACAATGCCCAGGTATTTTTTGGTTGCAGTTTAGCAGGCTTGGGCTGGGCTCAAACTCACCAGCCTTAAGTGTATGTGGCCAGCGCCCTACTCACTGAGCTACGGGCACCAAACCCTTTAAGTCATTTTAAAAACCAGCAAACTACAGTATACAGCAAAATGATGCATGTTTTTTCTGCTATATTTTATTTATTTATTTTTTGTAGAGACAGAGTCTCATTTTATTGCCCTTGGTAGAGTGCCATGGCATCACACTACTCACAGTAACCTCCAACTCCTGGGCTTAGGCAATTCCCTTGCCTCAGCCTCCTGAGTACCTGAGACTACAGGCACCTGCCACAATACCTGGCTGTTTTTTTTGTTGCAGTTTGGCTGGGGCAGGGTTTGAACCCACCACCCTCAGGTATAAGGGGCCAGCACTCTACCCACTGAGCCACAGGCGCCGCCCATCTCTGCCATATTTTAAATAACTGTGTCTCTAAAAGCCACAATGGAGTTCTCAATACAGACAGTGCTATAGTTGCAGTCACCCTGTTTAGTTTTACATCATATTCCGTTTTCAATGTAATGTAACTTTTGCACGTACCCCCATTGCAGGGGTGTTTTAGAGCTGCACTAGCCGTGGCCATCCATGCCCCCTATCTTGAGGCCTCATTTTGCCTGTCATGAGTAGCTTCTCCATTCTGCGAGGGTGAACGTCTCATCCTTGTGGTGTAGGTGTTAAATCTGGAGGGGTGCCTGAAACTGCAGAGCAGCTAACCAGGCCTCTGCTCTCTGCCCCAGGGAGTCCCTCCTGAGCTCCTTGGTGGTCACAGCCATGCCTCCCACTGCTGCTGGGTGTTCCCAGCCTGTCACCTCTGCCCCACTCAGGCAGAACCCATTAGGCTAGGATGCACAGTGAGTTGGAGTCAGCCTCAGATAAGAATTGTGGGGAGAGGCACACAGCACTGTCTGTGCCGAAGTACACGTGGGAGGAGGGCATCACAGCAGGAGTCTGGCTTACACCTGAGAGAACTGTGAGCCCTGTGTTCTGGTTGATAGCATCTTCGGGTCAACCAAGAGTCGAGCCTCCTGCAGTGCTGGGCTCCCGTCATACCAGGCACTGGGCTGTAGACATAATGAAGGCCCTGGAAATGAGGGGAGGGGTAGTGGCTTACAGAGCTTTCAGGGAGCATCCTCGAGGCTGGATATCGGGGACCCTCACTCTGCTCTCTGCTCCCATTCCTGCCCAGCTCCCCCTCCAGGGCTCCGCGGGACACTGGATCTCCAGGTTATCCGTGTGCGGATGGAGGAGCCCCCAGCAGTCAGCCTCCTGCAAGACTGGTCCAAGCACCCACAGGGCAGCAAGGGTGTGGGAGCAGGTGACACCCCAGACTGGCCCACAGTTCTGTCGGAATCCAACACCACTGTGGGGGGGGAGCCAAAGGCGGGGAGTGGGGTATAAATTCTTGCTATTCTGGGGAGGGAGGGAGGGTTGGGGGGGAGGGAGGTGGGGAGGAGGCAGCATTGCCTTTTGGCTTATAACTCAGCTGCCCAGCTTGGCCACCTGGCAGAGAGGGTAAGACCAGGTGCCAGGGCAGGGTGGGGTGGGGCAGCACCCACTGGTGCCTCAGGCACTGGAAGATGTCTGCCCCAGCCAGGCCCAAGGGCAGCTCAGGCTGTCTGTAGTAGGGCATTGGGCCTGTGGAGAACACCTACCCCATCCTTTGCTGACCCAAACCTCTCTGTCCCTTCAACCCCCTCCCACCCTCTTAGCCTCCCTACCATTCTCCCCTGGCACAGTGCCTTACATAAGAGGTGGTTGTAATGGGGTTTGAACTGAGTCCCACTACCTCGGGGGACACCTCCCCTCCCCCACTTGTTCAGGCTCCTGATGGGGCCTCCATTACCTCTTCCCACCTTGTCCCTGCAGGAAGCTGAGACAGCTGTCCTGGGGCCCCATTCAGTCCCTCTCTCCTTTTCATCTGTTTTCCTGTTGTATATATCACCTTTGTTGACAATAAATTATTTTTTTTTATTAAGCGAGTTCCATCTGGGCCATCATTGAGGGATGGGGTTTGCTAGCAGTAAATCCACTTCCTAAAGTAACCTTGAGGACTGGGAGGTCATCGGGGAACTGGAACTGCCCTTCTGTCCCAGAGAGTGGAGTAGCAACAGGACAGGACTTTGTTAAGCCTTGGACAGGGGCTGACTTGTGGTGTCAGTCACCAAGGGGCAGCTTCTCTTCTTCTCACTTCTACTCCAGAAATGGGGTCAGAAACATCTTTTTTGTAACATGTTGTCCCTTCCAACTCAACCTCGTAGGTTTCTGTCTGTCCAGGAGAGGCCACCGTGGGGGCCCAAGGGCACTCACCCAAGGAGCTAAGAATTACCATGACCTTTCTAAGGTGAAATGGTGTGTTCAGCCTGCGGGTAGAGAAATAACCCTCCCTCACCCAGGGATGGCAAGGTGGGCGTGGGGGTCGTAACTCAGCTCTGCTTCTGAGCCTTTCAGGCCTGTACCTCAGCTGCATCTCACCCTCTCCTTGACTTAAATGAACCTGAACCCCAACCTGGACCCATTCCCTGGAACATGAGGTGGCCCACTGGGAACTCTTCACTGGGTTCCAAGTCTTTCACATTCCCCCCCTTGAGCCCCAAACTGCACTGCTATCCTGTTTGGGGAGGTGTGGTACAGACAGTGCACCCTGCACTGGGGCTGTCTCGCTCATGGTAGGCAAGTGGGGTGTGAGGGGCACAGGCGGACTTGGAGGGCAGTTGTTCCCATGGGATACTGACAGCCTGATACTGAGACTGACTGGAAAGTTGGTATCAGGAATGGTCTGGATGCAGGGGTAGTGTGCTGCATGCCTGCCTGAGCAGGTAGCATTGCCAGCCATGCACCCAGCTGGTTGAGGGATCTCAGTTTTGTGGGCTTCTGGACATGGGCCCTCTTCCCCATCTGACAGGCTTAGAAGGAGACTGAGGATGTATATACAGGGTCCTTTCCACAGAAAAGTAAAAGACCATTGCTGAGGTGTGGAGAAAAGGCAGTGGCCGAAGAGTTGGGATGCCTTACATCCAGGGTGGCTCCCCACTGCGTGGTGGCCGGTACCTCAACCAACACACCTACAGATTGGCAAAACTTACACCTTCCTGACACAAAGGAGTAGGTCACGCAAACATCTGGCTCTAGAAACCTAAGTATTACTGCAAGTGATTTCTGTCTGTCCTTTCTTTTATTTTTTTTTTTTTTTTGAGACAGAGCCTCAAGCTATCCCCCTGGGTAGAGTGCTGTGGCTTCACAGCTCACAGCAACCTCCAACTCCTGGGCTCAAGGGAGTCTCCTGCCTCAGCCTCCCAAGTAGCTGGGACCACAGGTGCCCGCCACAACGCCCGGCTATTTTTTGGTTGCAGCCGTCATTGTTGTTTGGCGGGTTCGGGCTGGATTCGAACCTGCCACCTTAGGTGTATGTGGCTGGCACCTTAGCCACTTGAGCCACAGGCACCAAGCCTGTCTGTCCTTTCAGTCTGAGCTGTGTTTACACTTGAGAAAACACAAAAGTTCCTTGTGAAGTTGCGAGACCAGCCTGAATAAGAGTAAATAAGACCTCATCTCTAAAAATAGTCAGGCATTGTGGTGGGCCTCTGTAGTCCTAGCTACTTGGGATAAAGAGACAAGAGAATCCCTTGAGCCCAAGAGTTTGAGGTTGCTGTGAGCTGTGACGCTACTGCACTCTACCAGGGAGCAGCACTCGACTAAGGAGCGACAAAGTGAGACTCTGTCTCAAAAAAAAAAAGGTGTGAACTAAAGGCACCTCCGCTGCTATTATGTGACTAATAGCTTAGCTTGGCTTGGCTTGGCTTGACCCACTGAAATGTGAGCTGCTTCTGGGTGGGGACGAGGTTGTATCAACTTGTTTTCCCAGTGCCCTGCATATGGCCTGGCACATAGGTGCTCAATAAATGTTTGTCCAGGGCTCTCTTGGTATATATTCCTGTGTGACCTTTCTCTGGTATGAGCTGGTTCCTGGAGTGTGGTTCTCTGCACAGGGTGGTGGCCACAGTGACTGGTTTGGTGGTTGTTTCATGACTTCACCCCCACATCCTGGCTGCAAAGGTCTGACCTCAGCCAGGACCCTGGGGACTCCCTTAGTGTGTGTGGCCATGAGCTGCCTGTGGGCACCTCTGAGTTTCCCAAGAGAGATGGAAAACATGTGAGCAGGGACATAACTCCCACCAAGTGTAGAAGGATTTTGTTACCGAATTTTAGGGGATCGCTTAGGACTCTCCTACCCTCTACCCTCCCTTGGGAGTCTTTCCACCCCACCCCTCATCCCAGCACAATACCAGAGAAGCTCCCTGCACAAATACCAGTGACCCCCGCCCCCAGGGAAGACAACTTAATCCAAATGTGGGCTGAGGCCTGACCATGATTTTGGGTGAGGGGTGGGGAAGAGGGTGCTGCTGCTCCTGGCTCAGAGCCACACACTTATTCTCCTGCTCCCCCAGCACTCCTGTGCTCCCTAAAGCTGGCCACCTCCTGCCCCTCCCAGCTGCCTTCTTTGAAATCTCAGCAGAGAGGTCTTTTTTTTTTTTTTGAGACAGAGCCTCCAGCTGTCCTCTGGGTAGAGTGCCATACCATCACAGCTCACAGCAACCTCCAACTCCTGGGCTCCCTGAGTCTCCTGCCTCAGCCTCCCAAGTAGCTGGGACCACAGGCGCCCACCCAATGCCCAGCTATTTTTTGGTTGCAGTCGTTGTTTGGCAGGCCCAGGCTGGATTCGAACCCGCCACCTTAGGTGTATGTGGCTGACACCTTAGCCACTTGAACCACAGGCACTGAGCCAGCAGAGAGGTCTTTTTAGATACCTAAAAAGGAAAAGCTTCTGCACTCAAAACACTTGTGACAGGATAGCATCAGTAGCTCAGTGAGTAGGGTGCTGGCCACATACATGAGGCTGGCAGGTTCAAACCTGGCTCAGGCCTGCTAAAAAAACGACAACTGGGCTTGGCGTCTGTGGCTCAAGCGGCTAAGGCGCCAGCCACATACACCTAAGGTGGCGGGTTCGAATCCCCAGCCCGGGCCCGCCAAACAACAATGATGGCTGCAACCAAAAAATGGCCAGGCGTTGTGGCGGGCGCCTGTGGTCCCAGCTACTTGGGAGGCTGAGGCAGGAGACTCACTTGAGCCCAGGAGTTGGAGGTTGCTGTGAGCGTGATGCCATGGCACTCTACCCAGGGGGATAGCTTGAGGCTCTGTCTCAAAAAAAAAAAAAAACGACAACTGCAAAAAAAAAAATAGCCAGGCGTTGCGGTGGGCATCTGTAGTCCCAGCTACTCAGGAGGCTGAGGCAAGAGAATCACTTGAGACCAAGAGTTTGAGGTTGCTGTGAACTGTGACACCATGCACTCTACTGAGGGCAACAAAGTAAGACTCTGTCTCAATAAAAAAAAAGGTAAAGAAACATTAAATTAAATTAAAATTAACCCCCCTCTGCTCCACATTTGCTGTCACCCTTGAGTGAGACTTGTCACACTTGACAGCAAATGTGGAGCAGAGGGGGTTCCCACACCAAACAGACACCAAATGTGTGTCCTCTAGTTCAAGTCTAATACTAGCAGCCTTCCTGGGGTTAGTGCAGACCCCACAGGGTAAGGGCTCAGTGCCACAAAACTGCCCCCACTTTAGATGCCCAGCATGCTGCCTATACTTCTGACTAGCCCAAAACCTACTCAGGTTTGGTAATTTGCTATAATGGCCCATAAAAACCGCGGAAACATTCATTTACATGAACTGGTTTATTGTAAAGGATGTTACAGGCCAGGTGTGATGACTTACACCTGTAATCCTAGCACTCTGGGAGGCTGAGGTGGGAGGATTGCTTGAGCTCACAGAGTTTGAGAACTGCCTGAGCAAAAAGCAAGACCCATCTCTGCTAAAAATAGAAAAACTAGCCCAGCCTAGTGGCAGGCACCTATAGTCCCAGCTACTCGGGAGGCTGAGGCAGGATGGCTTGAGCCCAGGAGTTTAAGGATGCTGTGAGCTAGGATGCTACAGCACTCTACCCAGGTGACAGAGTAAGACTCTGTCTCAGAAAAAAAAATAAAAAATGATGTCACAAAGGATTTAGACTAGTGATCAGACATGAGGCAAGGTTCAGAAGGATCCTAAGTACAGGAATTTCTGCCTTTCTGGAGTTGGGAGTGTGCCACCCTCCAGGCAGGTGCTAGAGGCACTGACCTGGACATTCCCCACACCTCATTGTTTAGGGGTTTCTAAATTCAGGCTTCACTAGGTATGCTTGATTAAAGAGACTGGCCATTGGTGATTAGCTCAATCTCCAGCCTCTCACCCCTTCTTAGAGGTCAGGGGACATAATCACATGGTCAGTTCCTCTAGTCACCAGCCCCATTCCCCAAGAGTCCCGTATTAGTGTGAACTCAGGTGTGGCGGAAAGGTGTGCACTCTAAGTAACAAGAGCACTCCTCTCACCC